AGCCTAAGCCTACAGCTAGCAAACAGGGTTTGCCTGTTAACCCTAGGTGTAGTATCCTTGCAAGCTAGGCACAGGCGCAGGCACTACCACAGCAGGGGGAGGAGGAGGGAGGAGGGGAGCAGCTAAAGAGGGAGGGTTGTCCCTAAATAGCTGCTAGACCTTATTGTTGTTGTTGTTATTATTATTAGAAGGCAGCAGAAAGAAGAGAAAAGAAGGAGGAGGAGAAGAAAAAGGAGAAGGAGGTAGTAGTAGTAGTAGTAGTGGTGGAGGAGGAGGAGGAGGGAGGGGGAGGCGGACAAGGAGGGTAGGAGGGAGGCAAAGGCAAGGGTAAGGGTGAGGGCAAGGGCAATAGTAATAGCAGCTATACTAATGTTAGCAACCTGTGCCCTTAACTACAACTGCTGTAAAGACAGTAACAGCAACTAATAGCTTATAAGAAGTAGAAAATGCGCCTACTATAGGTTACCCTATAGCCTAAAGCAGTAGCTACTGCTATAGCTTAATGTTTATTTTAAGTTATAAAACCTAGGGCTTCTAAAAGAGACTAAAAGTAAGGCATGTTAATGTTATAGTTAAAGTTAAACTTATAATATAGTGTTGTTTATATTACTATCTATTAGTTACTAGTAAGTTATATGTGTTATACTTTTACTATAGCAACTTTACTATATTTTTACTTTTACTAACTTCTAAAACTTCTGTAAACTTCTAGACTAATAAAGACCCTATAATATATAGTACTTTTTTAAATTATAAAATACTTTAAAACTTTAGCTAACTTTTACTAATTAGATTACTATAAACTATAATTTTACTTTAAATATTTTAGATATTTTAAGTGCTCTAAAACTTCTATAAACTTTTAGGCTAACTAAGGCATAAAGTAAAAAATTAGAGCCTTTAAAAAAATGCTTAAGCTAATAATATAATTTATAACACATTAAACAGCTTTTTTTTTTATTAGTTATATATTACACTTTTCTACTCTAGGATACTAGTAAGAAACTAAGAACTTTTTTTTAGTAATATAATATATTTCTATCTACATTTACTAATGCTGCCTAGGGTTGCAATAGCGTAGTGTTTATAGCTGCCTTATATATATATAGCTTATTTTGCCTACTGTAACTTACATTATTGTGTACTGTTACTAGCAAACTTCTGTCTTCTAGGGGCTTTAGCTAACTAGATTAACTAGTGCTAGCAGTTAGCATTACTAGCCTACTATTAGCCTACTTTTAAATATTCTAGAGAACCTAGACTGTATGCTAAAAAAAAGTTATCTATAAAACTTTATAAATATATAACTTCTTAAGTAAAGCTTAATATAATTATATAAATAATGCTACGCAATGTGTTATTTAAAGGTAGTATCTTTAGTACAGTTAAAGTAAAGGCACTTATAGTTATATAAGTATTATCTAATACAACTAGCTAGAGGACAACGCGGCTACTAGAGGATGCAGATGCAGCTTGCAGTGTATGTTGCAGTGCTACCTTCTTAGTAAGAGCGTTATTCTGTTAACAGATTTAAGTAACATAATCTACACTTAAATCTTTTATAGATAATAGAGTATAGACCTAACTAGATTTATTTTACTTTATATACTAGCGTTATAGCTTTTTTTTATAATAGACTAAACATATGTTTGCAGACGCTACTATGCCTAAAAGTATGTTATAAAGTGCTTTAGCATTAGTCTTAAAATGTTTCTAACTAGATATAAATAGAACATGCTTATATATCTTATTAACTATAAGATCTACTTTAATAGTATACTTAATTTTATAGTATTGCAACAGCTCCTATTATAAGCACATCCTTATATACACAGATAAAGGCAGAGGTGCTTAACATGTAGAGTTACTGTAGTGTCTCTCTACCTAGATTCTAGCTTACTTATTAAGGGCAATAAGTATAAAGGTAGAGAGTGTGCCTATTCTTAGAGCAGAAACTACACTTAGGGGCTCTAGCAGTAGCGTAGCTAGTAGAAGAAGTGCAATATTGCACTTTAAATAGCAGAAACTTAGTACAACAATAAATCTGTCTTTTAGAGGGATATTATACTCCCCTAGTTAAGATAAAATACTTTTATAGTAATATAAACTATTAGCTATATTAATCTAGTAATTACCTATGTTTGCCTAGGCCTGTATATTAGACTTTATCTAATATCTAGTAGAAGGCTAGTCTAACCTAGCAGTTTCTTAGCTAGACTTTTATAAGCAGACACTATTTATGTTACTAGTATTACCTAGTGTAAAGCTTTAGGCTAATTAACTATATACTTTTACTTTATTAACTAGTAACTAATTCTGCGCTGTTTTTTTTCTTAAAGGCTGTCTATTTTATTTAGGGTAGAGTAGTAAAACGCCTAGTTTATATAAACCCTTAGAGTTAAATAACTAATATAGTAGGAATATATACGCAGTACTTAATTAACTAAGTGCGCGTTTACTGCGCCTAGCACGCTGCTAGAGATCTAAGAGGCTCTTTATAATTAGAAACTTCTAGCATATAATGTAGTTAACATTAGAGATATTAACGCCTATGCCTAGTAAAGTAGTAGCTACTATAATTTAGATATAAGATATTAGCTTTTTAAACTTAAAATAACACTTGTTCTAGTTATATTCTTGCACATTTACAGTAAACATCTCTACTATGTTGTACACACACTGTAGACTATTATTAATATTAGTTATATACTAATTGTAGAGTTCTAGTCCTTCTATTAAATAAAGGAGCATTAAGTAAAACTACGCTGCAGCTAACTAAACAGATATACGCCTATTAATAAATACAACTATCTTAGAGATCTCTCTAGAATTAGTACACCTACTTAAGACACTTTCTTTTAAAAGAAAATAAAGACTATTCTATAAGTTAACTTTACTTTATAGTAAAGAAACTACTAAAATAGCAACATTAAAGTAATTAACTAATGTGCAGATAACCTTAGTCTAGTACATACAGCAGCCTAGTGGACAGAAACTAGCGTAGCGTAAGACTGCATCCTCTGCAGTACTGTCTAACATAGCAGAACAGGCAAACTAGATAACATCCTTTTAAAGTATAACTTATAGTTAACTTAGTATTATAAATGTAAGTTAAAACTTTTTCTAGTCTAATATAAAATAATATTTATTAATAGCTACTAATCTAATTTAAGACTATAACTCTAGATTTTTTAGAATGTCCTAGAAAGCTCTACTAAAAGCCTGCTTTAGCTTTATAAGTAGATAAGTAAATTCTCTGTTAATAATTTAAGTAAATAGTCCCTACTAACTAGCCCTACTCTACGCATTAATAATACATAGCTTACATTTTTTTAGTTGTTATATGTTGTCTAGCTGCTTGTCTTTAAGCTTATTTAGTAGAATAATTTAGATAGTAATTTTAGCAGTTAACACTAAATAAGTGTAGAAGATTATGCTCTTACTAAAACTAGTCTAGGTAATTAAAAGAGTATCCCTATAATTAAATATTAGTTGCTTTAAGGTACAGACTTACTTATTACATAGTAATAGGCTACTATTATTAGCGCTTATTATTCTTCCTTTGTAAAGGATCTGTGTAAGACACGCGTAGAGAACGTCCTTCTAGAATTTAACATTATAGACATCCCTAGCTACTAAGATAAGGCTAAAAAGATCTTTTAACTTTATAGATAGGACAAGATTAATCTAAAGCTAAAGGCTTAGAGAAATAGGGCCCTAACTTATTGCATTTAAAGCATTTTAATGTTTTTGCTTTTTTCTACTTTTTTACTATTTTAAACGCCTATTTCTTTTTTTCTTAACCCTTTTTTTTACTATACTTTAGAAGTTTCTAGAAGTCCCTAGAAGTCCCTAGAAGTTCTTAGAAGTTTCTAGAAGTTTTTAAAAGTTTCTAGAAGTTCCTAGAAGTTCCTTAGAGGTATAGAATCCCTAACGCCCTTCTTATTAACTAGGTTATATAATGCAGTAGGTTAAGCGTAGGTGTACTAATAACTGCGACTGCACACCTACACCTGTTTACACTAAAGTTTTAATTATAAGAGGTAATAGAGAAGGCATGTGTGCCTTAGCTCCTGCAGTTATAAAGGGATACAACGCGTAGTGTTAACAGGAGTAATAGGATAGGGATAGACAGTTAATAGCTAGAACACACAACACATTAAAAATGTGTTTAATAATGTACTTTACTCTTTAAATAGTGTTAGATATGTCTTAAAATGTGCCTATTATAAAAATAAATACCTCTGTTTTTAATTACATTAAACATTTTAATAGATACTAATGCTAGTGTAGTGCTATTGCATAATTTAATAGATTTGTGAACTAAGATACATATAAACTTACTCTATTTCTTCTTAGACGCTCTGCAGATAATTTTACGCGTTATTAGTAATTAGCCTTTAATTAGCCTAGAAGACCTTAGAAGTTTTAATTAGCTTAGAAGTTTTAGAAGTTTTGTCTAATCTAAAATAGTATTAGTGCAAAATCATCTGTGGGGCGGCTGACTTGTGAGATAAGGTCTCTGTTGGCTAGGCTGAGAAGGCTTAGAGCCCACGATATGCCGACCACCCTACATGTTTTCGATGCCGGCGGCACTTGAGGATATACGGATGCCGATGGCCAGAGACGAAAGCCGCAGGAAGAGTGCATTGTGTACATTGAAATGAGAACTTGGATTTGCTATCTACCAGCCGTATTCCCATCCTTGGATTTCTCCTGCAGGATATTTTTCCCCGTCTTTGTAAATTGGTGTGACTTGAAGTGTATCAGGCTGTGCGAGAATTTGCTGCTGCGTTGGCTTTCCGGGGGGACACAAAGCCTGAGACAGCAGATAGGGGCAATGTCCCTAAGCCGAGTAATCTCTCCTTCTATCCCAACAATATTCGGTCGAACAGTACTTCTTAATCTTGCTTCATCATCATTCCAGAAGCAATAAGCGGTTGGGGGTTTCCTATGAAACAGTGGTCGAAGATTTGCCATCTCAATTTCCTCACAACCCATCAATAGTCGAGTAGCGTGATTCCACAATTAACGTTAAACGAAATTTCTTTGGTAGCCTTATCGTACTTATGCTTTTTCAGACTATAAAAGAACGTGGCTCGCTCCCATCTAAGTTCGTCTTCTAAATCCCCTGAGAGAAGTACCATGTACCCATTCTGGTATTCCTCCTTGGGCTCGTCGAAGTATTTATATAAGTCAGGGCCAACGAGGACCGGATTCACGCCAAATTTGTCAAGTGCGAGCTGAAGCCATGTTTCGTCCCTGAAGACGCTTCTCCAAAGTGACTCATGTGCTCTTTGGCTTCTTGAATCACTCAGCTGCCCAGAGGCCAGTGGCAGGGCTTCCAACGGGCCGTACTACGGTCCGTACAAAGTGAACCGTAACGGTCACGTGTTCAGTACGAACGTACCGAGTTCGTGAGCCGTACCGTACGTTTAATGATGCCCTAGGTACGGTACGTAGTATGGATTGTATTACCCTTTTGGGAAGTTTGTATACACAGTTATGTTACAGCTATCCAACCCCTCAGTACCCTAGGATTGGCACGGGGTATATAGGCTCCTAGGCCTCCGTACCTCTGCCTCCAACCCTAAAGTTTACTCTCGTTACCCCCTATCCTGCATTCCCTCTCTGTGACTTGTGTTTCCTGATCAATACCCCTCACACCACGCCTCCTCACACTACGCCTCTTGCCGCCTTACAGGCCTCATCTAGTCCTATCTGCTCTTGTTACTAGGGAGAACTAGTTATTTTATAGTTAATTAGACCTTAATCTTGCGTCTCTAGGGACCTATAGTCTTAGCTGTTTTGACTGGAGTACGGCGTACTTTAATCGAATTGTACTACTTGTACAGATCACGTGAGCCGTAACAGTTACGATACGTACACCTACCTCTCCTCCTCCCTATCGTACGAACGTACACAAAATCTCACCCGTACAGGCCTCAAAATCGCCCAATCGTACAGTACTACGCCTCGTTGGAAGCCTTGGCCAGTGGCATGGACGGTGTCGATAAGCCACCGCCATTACTGCCGCTTCATGCGACGCATGATTGTGAAGTAACAGAGCAATATCCATGGTCAAGTGAGTGTCAAGGCGGTGCAGCTCGGGATAGGTCAAAGCTAGCCAGCTGGAACGATTCTCGTACGGTGATCCGTGAATAATGCAAGCGTCCCCTATCTTCCACCTCATTCCATCCCGTAAGCTATTGCGAATGTGGGAATCCGCTTTGACAGCGCGATCCTATTGCGCATCAAGAGACATGCGGAGTCGACCCAGCCCTTCCGAGTCTATCACTCCCATGTCCTCATCTAAGCCTCCCCTTCCCTTGAAGATCATGCAAAGCACCGAGTCTGCGTCTTCGGCAGTGTCCTGACGCATTCGTATCCTCGGGTTCTGGTCTGCCGCGCGTCAGTTGGTGACCTATCGTGCCTCCTGATAGGCAAAGTGAAGGGGAGGCCTCTCCATCGCATTGCCAGAATCCTTTGGTCGCGAAGTTGAGTCCAACAGGGTGCTGATAAACTATCAAGGAAGTCCCGGTCTAGTAGACATCATGAGCATCATCAATCTCATGCGTCCCCCAGTCTGTGGCTTTGCGAGATAGTTCGGAAGCACAGCCAAGGCATCTTAGGCTCCATGGGTGCAACATGTCCTTGCAGTCTGGAATGAGCTCTTCATGCCAAATCAGCCTTGAGACAGGAGCCTATGGGTAGATCAAGGCTTATTGACATGTCGTGGTCACTGGCGTACATATAAGTAAGGTGCTTCGTTGGCCTGCACAAGCTCTTCATTCCGAGTCCAACTCCAACATACAGACCTCTCTATCATCCACTCCAAAGTTCGACGCGAGTACGGGAGACTTCTTTCATATTCCTTCATAATGGAATCAACGCAGCAGATTATCCCTGGTCAAAATTGGCCACCTTACCCTGTCATGGGTTACCCAGAGCTCTCTCATCGGTACAAAGAAGGTCTTTGTCCTTCGGTGCCTGAGTCGAGTATCCTATCTCTCAATGAACAATGGGATTCTTTCGACATCCAACTTGAAGCCATGGAGAGAAGCGCGCCACCCCATTGTTCCCAACCGGCCACAACGGGCGCCTTGCTGACCGAACAAAGACCGTTGATGGAGCATACGTTTGCTATGGGCAGTCCTTTTTTTTTCCTCACGAGGTACCTTTACCAGTACAGAGTTTCGAGCATCCCTCCTCATATGCATTTCAGTCGTACTTCGAATCGACGGCTGGCCCGCCCCTGTTCCATGTTCGGAACGATTGCTCTTTCATCTACCCGTTCACGGAGCCGAAGCTCTTGTCGCCACGGAGTCAATTTGCCGCCCATAACCTACCACGGCACGAACTCGGGAGTCCCGAATCGGCACCCGGGATGATGATGCCAACCTACGGTCAACCACTCAGTAGTTGCTCTTCATGTTGCCGGAGTCAAGAAAGCAGTATTTGGGATTCCTGCACTACCACCAATACTTCTCTGTGCTCTCTACCCGAGGACCCTTCCCAGGGAATTAAACCCGAAACTGTACACAAGGGAGAACCAATGACTGGTTTTTCTCGCAATCAAGTAGCAAACCAGCCGGTCCCGAGACATGCCGAGGAAAACATATGGGAAGTCGAGATGTTGCTTGGCAAATGGAAGCGAGGTAGAATGACTTGGTACTTGGTGAAGCGGAAGGGCTTTGCCATCAAGGATAGCACACGGGAGAAACAGAGAAACATAGGTGCTGAGCTAATCGACGAGTTCGAGGTGAGTTATGAAGGGAACCATTTTGGGATTGAGCGATTGCTGGGAAAGCGGACTCGACACGGGAGGACGGAATACCTTGTTGAATAGAAAGGTCCAGGCGGCGACAATTCTTGGGAGAGGGAGGCTACCATAAGCCAGGCACGAATTAACGTGTTTTATCACTCATCCGGATATATCAGCCATCCGGACACTCCACCAAAATCGCGACGCGTCTTCCACCAAACACGCGATGCTATCCACACAGAAGGCCCAGTAGGCCCAGAAAGAGGGCAGACTTGTTCTTTCTATACAGGCCGTTCAAAATAAGACAATATCAAGTCGCTCTCGAGCTGCTGTTATGTACAATGTCCCTCGATCAACGCTATACGATCGCGTTAACGGTGCCCTCCCACAATCCGTTGTCAACGCCTGAAAATGCAAGCTACAGCCCTTATAGGAGGAGTCTCTAGTTAAGTGGGTCCTGGACCTCGACCGCCGTGGATTTCCGCCCCTTATTATCAACGTGCGACAGATGGCTGATACTTTACTTGCCCCGCGCGGCCAAGATCCTCCTTCTCAGCCTGTTGGCAAGTGCTAGGTATCGCGCTTTATTAACGCCTAGCTAGAGCTTAAGATGAAGTAGAATCGCAACTTCTATTTGCAGCGCGCGAGATGCAAGGACCTAGTTACAATCCGCGCGTAGTTTCAGCTTGTAGAGGAGACGCGTTAGTTATACAGCATACTTAACAAGGATATCTACAACTTTAATAAGACTAGATTTATAATAGGGATTGCTGCAATGTTAAAGGTTATTACAAGCTCTAATACAATTAGCTAGGCAGTTAATATACAGCTTGGGGATCGCAAGTGGGTTACAACAATTAAGGGGATCAACGCGGCTGGGTGGGCGATCTCGCCCTTTATCATTCTGAGGGCTAAGGTCCACCAAGCCAGCTGGTATCAAGGCCTACGCGCCGGCTGGACGATTGCTGTTAGCGACAACAGCTGGACAACTAACAAGCTTAGCTTTGTCTAGCTTAAGCACTTTAATAGCCATACAAGAACGCGTACAACTGGCGCCCATTAACTACTAATTCTTGACAGCCATAGCCAGGGCTTCCAACGAGGCGTAGTACTGTACGATTGGGCGATTTTGAGGCCTGTACGGGTGAGATTTTGTGTACGTTCGTACGACAGGGGGGAGGAGAGGTAGGTGTACGTATCGTAACTGTTACGGCTCACGTGATCTGTACGAGTAGTACGATTCGATTAAAGTACGCCGTACTCTAGTTGAAACAGCTAAGACTATGGGTCTCTAGAGACGCAAGATTAAGGTCTAATTAACTATAAAATAACTAGTTCTCCCTAGTAACAAGAGCAGATAGGACTAGATGAGGCCTGTAAGGCGGCAAGAGGCGTGGATAGATAACTCTGGAATAGAAAATGGTCTGTAATAGGCATTTTTGAGACATCCGTACTACGTACCGTACCTAGGGCATCATTAATCGTACGGTACGGCTCACGAACTCGGTACGTTCGTACTGAACACGTGACCGTTACGGTTCACTTTGTACGGACCGTAGTACGGCCCGTTGGAAGCCCTGGCCATAGCAGCCACGCAACACCTGAGTTTGATTAGTACTGTGTAGAGAATAAGATTATCACACTCTGCATGCCGCCACATACCTCACACCTGCTCCAGCCACTTAATGTTAGCTGCTTCTCGCCTCTTAAGCGCGCATACAGACTCAAAGTCCAGGGGCTCGCCCGCTAGAGCATCTCCCATATCAACAAGAACAACTTCCTAGAGATATACCTAGGTATTAGAGACACAGTCTCTACAGAGCAGAACATCCAGGCTGGCTTCTAGGCAACAGGGCTTGTACTATCCTGTCCAGATCGCGTCCTGTCGTCGCTCACGATAGTTAGGACGCCGTCCCCACCAGTAACAGCTGCCGACACTGAGGTCGCATGGACGGCTGAGACGCCGCATAACATAGACCAGCTAGAGAAGCAGGCTCGCCTTGTTAAAGACCTTCTCCAGCGCTTGTCGCAGAGCCTGTTAAGCTACGCAGTTAGGCAACTTGTTAAGGGTTGCCAGCTTGCATTGCACTCAGCTATTCTACTTGCAAAGGAAAATACAGAGCTCCGCACAGCTAATCAGCGCCGCCAGCGTAAACAGCAGCAGCGCCACCAGTATATTGCCCGCGGAGGAGCTCTACAGGCTGAGCAGGGCCGGCTACTTGCTATGCAGGCTGAAAATGCGGAGAGTGAGGTAGCTCAACAGGAGACTCAGCCCGCGCGCCAGCGCGCACCACCAACGTGTTCAAAGTGCCATATCCGAGGCCATAATAGGACTCAATGCAGGGCTATCTTAGCTAGCTCTACCTAGAATTTTAAACAGATTAATTTTGTAGTTGTGGCGCAATCCGTTAAAAAGCTGCGTTGATTTTAGTGGGGTGTCCAGATGACTGATAAATCCGGAAGAGTGATAAAACACGTTATGGAGTTTGAGGGAAAGTAAATTAGCCTAACGTTTATATTTTGGTACTAAAATGTTTTGGAGACCTGTTGATTCTCGCGTTCGTGCGCAATTATCAGACTGTGATAACGTCACAACCCCACTTTTGCGCCCGCCGGATTGATGAGGAAGAGCTGGGTTTCGATCCCACTATAGTAGAGGGTGGCGGAAGATACATGCACATCCGGCGAAATAGTCAGATGGAGCGGATCCGGTTGGAGGTGCGCATGAGGCGACAGCGCTCCTTGGCTGGCCGAGCGTGGTTCCCTCCATGGCAAGTCAGGCGGTCACCTTGCGATCAAGGACTCCTGGGAATACGAAGAACGGCCTAAAGAAGGTCTGCTACTTAAGGAGGCGACGGAAGCCGGTGTGAAGAATGTGGCGCGGTATTACCACCATGAGACGGTGCTCATCAAGGACGAGGTGGACGATGTTTCGAAAAACGTGCGGAGGGGACTGAGCGATACAGTCGGCCGAAATCCACTTCAACGACGGGCAGCACATTCCGAAACCATCACAAGTTCGAGAACGTCTAGTCCCTCTAGAGCGAGAAGGGGTAGGAGCAGGAGCAGCAGTCGAACTGGAGGAGGTGAAGGGGGCCGTCAAGCAGAGACTTGAGAAGGTCATTGAGCAGCGTGAACAGTCTCATTGATTTTATGAGATAAGCCGTCAATTACCATCTGCGTACGGAGTCCGGCGATCTTCATGTACATAATTATGGGTTAAATAGCGTAAACTTATGCTTTTCTCTTGTGATTCGTAATGCGTGAGCTTAATATTAGCGAGTGAGCTAGTGAATCCACGAACAGTGGATTTTAAGTTTGAACGTTTTACAAGCCACGTGGGAATACGGTGTGGCGTCCGATCGCCAAGACAGCCAAGCCACAATGTCCTCCGGAAGAGGCCCAGTTCTGGACTCTGCGTTTGAAAATGGAACCAGCAAAGAGACCAAATCTTGTATTAAAGGCATGAAAATGGGCCCACGCTGCTATTAGCTCAACTTGGATTACACAGACAGTAATTTTGCGTAGCATACTTGGACGAGGGCTTTAGTATTTGTGCGTGCTTCGTCAGCTCCTTGAACTTCCCCTAGCCCTCTCGATCAGCCCATCCAAGGTCTACGAACCATGAGGCCGAACGGCGTTTGTGCTTTGACGAAGCTGAGAAATGATTGGGGGAGTAAGGCGAGATCGAGTTCCATTTCTTCTGTACGGCAGAACCCTTAAGGGGATTATATTCCTTTCTTTACTCTTTCGTCATTTATATTATTTTAAGCTACCTAACCAGCAACTAAAAATTGATGATAACTTTAATGCAGGAAGGCAAGCTATTTCTGACGATGGCGTTTATTAATTCTCAGCTCCGGGTTGCATCGGGTGCTGATGCTGGCGGACAATGATGAATCGAAAATGCCTTCAGGTAACGCCGTCGCGTTCATGTGGTTCGGGCGGGCCTGTAGTGACTGTTCCTCTAGTTAGCCTCTTCTAGTCTCAGTGATTATCCTATTGATACGGTGGAGAATTTCGGATAGCTCGGGATCCGTTCTGCTTGGCTTAGGGCAAGTAACCAAACTGTTGAGCACAGAAGCAACTCTTTTGGCATCCGCCTTTCAATACGGTCACGACTTGGTATGCCTCTCTTCACGTTGGTGTATTTCTTAGAACAATTCTGCTTCTGCAGCGATTCCATGCAATTAATCGAAGCGACCCGGGAGTGCAGAGAGGGCAATAGATTCTAGTTTTCAATTCAAGGCGCGAGTTTGGTGTATTTCAAGCCCCACCAATGCCTGTTGATAGCAAACTGCTATAGTGTCTTACTGGAGATAAGATTTGCAGATCCTGCAATGACTTATTGGCCAACCGCACCAGCCTAGGTACCATCATTTGCGCTTCACCGGAGATTTAATCGGATCAAAGAGAAACTAACATATCAACTAACTCCTAAGCCATATCCAACAGAGATTTTGACACTGGCTTCTCAAACTCGAATAGAGCACTATTAAAATCCCATTTTAACTCTCAGCCTATTGCTCTTGGGATTTGTATAAGAAGGACCTAAAATTTATTTTTAGTGTGTCCTGGCAATGACAGAAGGCAATTTTACCTAATTTTAGGTGTACAATGAAGCCGGGCTGAAAAACATTGTCACGGTTATGTTACAGCTATCCAACCCCTGAGTACCCTAGGCTTGGCACGGGGTATATAGGCTCCTCGGCCTCCGTACCTCTGCCTCCGACCCTAAGGTTTACTCTCGTTACCCCCTATCCTGCATTCCCTCTCTGTGACCTGTGTTTCCTGCTCGATACCTCTCACAAACATCTACCGAGTTCTCTTTTGCCCAATCGTAAATACGATTCCAATCAACGCATTTATGAGGTGCCGAGAAATTTGCGATTGGAAGAGGTTGGCTGCGGCTTGGGTTAGCCCAGAAAATTTACCAGTAGTGTGTATGTGGCACACGCACGTATTACCCCAGAGCATGGTGATGACGGAAATGTCGCCTTGACACATTACAGCTTGCCGAAGCATATCGAGACAATGCTTGCGATTACCCGGATCGAGCTACTCGCGTATAGATGTACTCGAAGACTATTGTATTGCCGTATGGATCATACTCTTCGCATTGGAGCCAGCTAAAAATGCGCGAAGGACTGGCGGAGTCACCGCAGGGATCGAAAATGCGTGAATTGTTGTCCCGACTGTAGATCATCGTGCGATTATCTGGAGTCCACACCCGCCAATCTATCTGGTGCAAAAATCGGTGGAATCTATTCCTTGGCAACACAACAATTTTCCCTGCGCGCGTACAAACTTACATACAAACTGTGAATTTACTTATTTTATGTAAGAATTATGCAACAACTATTTAATAATTATTAGTAAAACTTAAGGCTATACAAATATGTGTAAAGGAGTATACTAACGCGTTTTTTAGAGTTATAGTCTTATGTTTTAAGCCTATAGCGTCTCTACAAGGCCTCTCACACCCGCGTAGGCGCGTTGCGCTCCTAAGATCTCTAGAGAGCTTATAACTAAAGGCTGCAGCCTTAATTTACGCTAGAGAATTAAAATATATTACTTTTTACTACTAGGCTAGCGTTACAACTCTATTGCTAGTTATGTTAGTGTGTTGCAGTTAAAGGTGTACACAATTAAGCGCAACTTAAAGCTGCACAGTAGCACTTGTAAACTAAGTAATCTAAACACTGTACTTAGCTGCCTACATAAAATAGGACCTAAAGATAAGTAAGCTTTATTTAATAAGCTTTATTAAAGTAGCTAAATGTATTATAACAAAATAGCTTACTAGTTATAAATAAAAAAAGGCGTTAAAGTACACTAGTTAATAGTTACTTAGCTGCTTAATAATTATAGCTAAAGTAAGTAAGCGCTGCGTTTTATCTTTATACTTTATAATAAAAAGCTTTATAAAAGCTATTGCTACTATATAAAGCAGTTTACTGCTGCTAATCTAGTGTTTCTAGACAAGTCTATCTTTAGTAAGAAGACTAGTTAGCAGCACTACACCTACGCGCTAATAGGCTCTATAAACTGCTATATATAGGACATTTAATAAAGGAAAACCTAGGCAGCCTTACCTGCGTTTACTATAAATAAGTACCTGCTTTATACAGGCGTAAAAAAGGGCTATTTTAGCTATAAAAACTTTATAGATTAGATCTGCAAGTTGCTACTACCTACTTTTTACATAGCATATAGTAATAAGACTATAGTTGTAGTTCTTAACAACATCTTAATTTATATAAACTAGAAGGTTGTAAGTAAGATTAAGTAAACTAGCTATATTATTAGATATTTACTGCTATACTTGCTAGACTATAACTTAATTAAGCTTACCTTTAGTGTCCTTAAAGCTTAGATTTATAGGTACTATAGCTGCACACACAGGTAATTTAACAACTTTAGTAACTTTCTAAGGGTAGCTATTTATAAAAGTTAGTGTAATTAGTTTATAAGAAAGCACTTTAAGCACACTACTAATAGCCTATATAAAATAAAGAGTAAAAAGGCATTAATAAAGGCTAAGCATAAGATGTAAAAGTAGCAGTAAGGCAAGCAAGCAGTAGAGAGTATAAGGCAAAAAAAATAAGTGTTAATTATATAATAAGTATTATAGTATTAGTAACATAGTAACATTTTTCTAAAGCCTAACACTTTTAGTCCTGTCTTCTTAGTTTGTTACTCTACTACCTATAGTGTTGTTATTACCTATGTTTATAAGTCTTATAGTAGCAGCAGCAGTAGCAGCAGCAGCAGCTTAATAGTGCTGTTTAAACTTCCTAAGATCCTTTTAAAAGTGCCTAACTACTTTATTTTTTAGCTAAAAGCGCTTACTAACTACTACCTTATAAAGATTTCTACTAGAGTTTAACATCTCTTATAAATCTTTAATAGTCTACTACTCTAAAATTGCTACATCTTATGCTTACTTATAGTCCTTATAATTATTTTTTAGCTACTAGGTAATAATTTACTTAAAAAACTTTTTTATAATTACTCTTATATTCTTCTTGCTGCTTATAGGGCTTAAGCTTAGCACATAAGTAGAGAGCACTATTATAGGTGTAATAAGACGCTAAGTAATTAGTAGCAGTAGTAATAGCAGTAAAGGTAAGTAAAGCTACTGCAGATAAAGAGAATAAGTAGGCTAAAAGTAACTAGCAGCAGCAGCAGGGCTATATAGATAGCCTATTAGTAGGCTAGGCTAGCTAAATCTAGAAAAGTTTAGCTGTAACCTTATATTTTTACGCTAAAGTTAAACTATCTTGCGCTGCTCCTTTTACTACTAGGCATTATCCTCTACTTTTTACCTAGCCTACTAACACTTATGCTTCTTTAAAGTGCGCTAAAAATTACACTTAAAGTTACTTTTACTAGTAGTAGAACTATAGTACTTTTTACCTTTACACCTGCCCTTTAGCTTTAGCTAGTTACTGCTACTAGTAGGGCTTTTTTAGTAATTAATAAGCTAAATTAAAGGCGTAAAGAGCTTTACCTTACTTATAAAAATTACATTTACCTAAGATTTTACATTTATAGGCAAAACTTTATAGTGCTTAAAGTTAGTAGTAACCTAGCACTAGCACTTAAAGTTTAGGCACTTACTATTACTACAACACTAGTAGCAGTAGAGTCTCTTCTCCTAGTCCTCCTGCGTGGCTATATCCTGTAATTACTGTACTACTCTTGCCTTGTTAAGTAGCTACTAAGTACACCTTAGATTTTTTTTAAGTTATAGTGTTAATAAGTTAGGTACATTAAATAAGGGCTTATTAGTGTACTAATTATGCTTAAAGGCTTTTTATAAGGCAAGCGCTTTAATAGTAACCTTAATGTTTACCTTTACTACTTAAAAAGGCAGCTCTTTACTAATTTAATAGTTAACCTGCTTAAAAAACTTCTTTTTTTTAGCTACACTAAAATCTGCTAGTAAGTGTGTTACCTTTTACACTTTTAAGCTTACTTAAAAGTTAATTATACGCTAAATAATCTTATACTTATAGCTTTTAAGTTAAGCTTTTAGCATAGCTAGCAGCTTATTTACAACATTCTCTGCGTCCTCTAGCTACTATATAAAGCAATTATGCTGCTTTAGTGTGCAGTAAATAGCGCTTCTTCTGTTAATAATTAGCTTATATTTAACTTTAAGATTATACTTTAGTGCGTTTAACAGTAATAATAAGTTAGCAGAGTAAATAGAAGCAGCTGCTATAGGCGTAACATAGCCTACTGTTAGTAAATTTAACTTAGCAGATAAATTAATAGTTATAGCCTTAAGCTGTGTTTTAAGTGTTAGTAGCAGCAACAACAGTACAAAGTTGCGCTCTATTTGTGTAGTAACAGGCGTAGTAACTTAAGCAGAGCTTGCCTAAGCAGCTGCTAGGCCTATGTTAGCTGTTAAAGGCTCTATAAACTGCACCTAATTGCGCTGTAAGCGCGTTGTCTGCCCTCTAGTACACTTTGCAGCCTTTAGTTGCGCCTTTATAGCTTTTTAACATAGTTTTGCTGCTTTCTTATGTGCTGTAATAGCTGCAGTAGCTGCAGCAGCAGCTGCTGCCTCTGCTGCAGTTACAGAGGGTATACGCGCCCTCTTTAGCCTCTCTATAAGCATATTAATAGACTATAACACTAAAAACGCGTTAGTATAGCTCCTATACATGTATTTGTATAGCCTTAAGTTGTACTAATAATTATTAGATAGTTGTTATGTAATTCTTACATAAAATAAGTAAATTTACAGTTTGTGTGTGAGTTTGTACGCGTGCAGGGAAAATTGTTGTGTTGCTAAGGAATTCCACCAATTTTTGCACCAGATAGATGAATATCGGCGGGGTCGGCAACGCTGGTCCAACGCTCGATGCGAGAAAAGGTCTGCAGGACTCTGGGCAAGTACTTTCTTACCAGGTATGGCCCGTCGAGGACTTCGTCTATGACGGGACTTTGCGAGGCGTCTAGGATCACTTCTCCGGACGCGGTTTTTCGAAAAACGGGAACGAGATCTTCGGAATCAGAGTTTTCATCTGTGCCCTTTCGATTGTCGTTGTATTGTGGTAGAAGAGCTCACCTGCTTACGCAACTGACTCGCTTATGCAACACTAAATCGTTTTCCACAAACTAACTTTAAAAATTAATAACTTAACAACTATAATAAATCTTAAGGAGATAATTAATTTAATCACTTTACTACCTTCTGCTAAACAAAATAAGTTATAAATTAAGCTAAAAGAACATTATTTAACTATATAGCGCTGTTAGAAAGAAATTACTAGCTTAAAACATAAGGGCTATAAAAAGCAACGTTTACTCAGAGCTTAGGACACTAAGACCCTTATTAAGCATATAAATTGCCTAACGCTTTAAGGGCTACTGCCTACTAAAGCTATAGTTTAAAACTTTATTAAAAAGCTCTCTAATACGCTGCTAGGTAAGAACTATATTTAGAAGTTTTTTAAGCGCAACTTTAATTAATTAACATTAGCTTATCTTAGGCTATTTAATATTAAGCGTAAACACGCTAATAGCCCTACTTAGATAGAGCCTTTCTATAACTAATTAGGGGAGAAAATTAAGAAGTACAGCGTACAGCCATATAATACGTACAACATAGATAAGAAAGGCTTTTTGCTAGGTATCCTTACAATAACAGAGCAAATCTTTACAAAGAAACTATAGAAGAATAGCTACTTAAAAGGTGCTAGCACTAATAGCAATTGTGAGTGGATCACAGTACTAGCTGCTATCTGCGCTAATAGCAGCTAGGTACCTCCAGCTCTTATCTATCCTGCTAGAAATAAAGCTCTAATAGACTCCTAGTTTTAAGATTTTAATCCTGCTAAGCACTAATCCTACTTTACTAGTACAGAGACAGGCTAGACAAATAACTAAGTAGTAATTAAGTAAGTAAAGAAAGTCTTTAATTAAAAGACTAAGGCTAAAGCTTGCTATAGCAGAGACTAGAGGCTTCTAATACTTAATAGCTATAGCTTACATGTTACTCTAGGCTTCCTAGAGTACTGTATAAAGCATAGAATCCTTGTTAACATACTCCCTCTACATACTACTTATTAAACGCAACCTCTAGATTAGGCTCTATTTAGCCTACTTTAAAGCAACTACTTAATAGAGCTTAGTAAGCATATGCACTAAACTTAGAGTCTTTTAGCTCTTACTAAACATAATTTCTATAAGCTGTTCTACACTACATAGGTTAAAACCTTTATAGAAAAGAACATCCTATTAAAATTTAAGCAGTGTAGTATTTACCCCTTTAATAAGAGTGCTGTGCTTAATAGCTTTAAAATAAGGCCTCTAAAATAACTATCTTAGCTCTAGAGCAGTAGCTCTACTAGCTTAAAGCTCTTACTAAAAGATAAGAAGTAAATTTATTAACTTCTTAGCTTAGAAATTAGTACTACTACTATTAACAGCTAATTACTTAGCAACATAATTCTCTACCTTCTAGATATAGCTATTCTTTTAAAAGATAAGGTAGCTAATCTTAGAGCAACAGTAATAGCAGAAAAGAAGAAGGGGAAGCGTGGCAAGAACCTTACAGAGCTTCTGTGTGCTAAGGATAAACATAATTAACTGTTCTTTAGCCCTGCTAAGGTGGCACAGGCTAGAGAGCTTTAACAACAAAAGAAGAACAAAAAATAAGCTAAGGTTAATTACAAAGTAGCTAAAAAGCTTAAGCAACAGCAGAAGAAGAATAGTAAAGAGGCTGTAAAGTAATTAAAGAAAAAGACTTATAAGAATAATAAGCACATAAAGAATATTAAAGCAGCTGTAAAAGCTCTACTTTATAAAAAAAAAAAGGTAGCTTAACAGCTTAAGCTACAGCTTTAAAACAATACTTAGTTTACTAAGAAGACCTAAAAGGAGCGTGCTGTTAAGAAAACTACTACGCAACAGGAGATAGTTAAGTACTATAAGGTGGTAGATAATAAGGAAGGTGTTGCAGGGCTATCTTAGCCTTAGAGGCAACAGCGTTAGCCAGCTTACTTAAAAGACTTTAAGATATATAAGGATTTATAGCCCTGCTTATAACAATTGCTACACTTAAAAATTAACTAAGATACAATTTATATAGAGCTCTAAAGCTTCATTTTTAGGTGATGAGTGGCACAGAGATTTCCGTTGCACGAGCCACTCGGTTGCGTAAGCAGGTGAGACCTTCTAAGCCCTTTGATGTTTTCCGACTGATGATGCCCCGGCCTTGGAGACTCCATCCCAGACCAAACTCGCCATTGCCGGCGCCAGAGTTGTATGTGAGTGACAACTTGGGGTCCATGCCAGCTCTTCCCGGCGGAACACCTATCGGGATGCTCACGCTCCCCTTGCCGGTTTCTTGGTTGACATCGAACTTTTCTCCCATTCCGGAAATGGCACCACCACCCTTCGGAAGTGAGATGGAGGGAGCCGGTGGGAATGGCAGACTTCAGAGAAATAGAAGATAGGTCACTGAGGCTGAAAAAGTTGTTTCCTGCGCTCCCGGCTAGGGGCTCTTTGTGGGAGCCCGCAGGCTTGTCGGATTGCTTGCCAACCGCATGTTCGTCGCGCTCCGGACGCGCTCCAATCCTCCTGTCGCTGGTGGACATGGCGAAGCAATTCCGAGAGAGATGTTGGCATCGAACCAGAGCGTGTGCAGAAGGAAGCTGGCGGAGGCCAGGAATACACAGGATTCACATGCTGTCCGGATCGGCGCCACCGCAGAGGAAAACAGCCGACTCGGCGGCGATGGCCCCAAATGCGCCGTGTTGGACGCGATGTTTTGATGGTCAGACAACGCCACAGCGTGGTGTGGCGTACAATCGCGCGGCCGTCCCCGCGTGTCACCCCGCAAATCACGCATGGCACGACCTCACCTGCTTCATCCTTCAGCTCACCAGAAGCCGGCATCTAGATCCCCAACAATGCGTCGCCCATTGCCCTCCTGTCGTGTTTTGTTTTCAGGCTGGGGCCATCTCGGTCCACCATCAAATCCCAATTCGGTCAATGCCCCCCCGCATTCCTCACCTGCATCCCATCCAATACTCTACAACATCGCATGTTTCCCCAGCCGCTTCCTCCTCAGATGCCTCGCCCATCGCATGGCGAGACATCGGCAGCATGGCCCGGAATGGGAAAACCGGACCTAGGGATACCCCATTCTCGCTTTGGAAGCTTCCCCCCCCAAATTCCGACTTCCCTCCGCAAGATTGATCGGATCATCATTCCTTTTCCTCCTTCGCTCATGGGAATCCTCACCTCAAATCTTCGGGGTTCTCCTTCACTCCTCCAAATTCTCAATGTCCTAAACAGACCCATTTAAATTCCTTCATTCTCTATTCCGGGCTAAAATGGACTCATCGCAGCTCTCTAGGCGCACCGCCGCGCTCCAGGAGCTGCTAGAGAGCCATGGCACAGAGGCCACCAAACTATTCATCACCCATCTGGATTCAGCCAAGGGCGACCTGGACAATGCTCTCGCTTCTTGGGATGCAGATCCCGCAAACAGCCTCTCTGCCGACCAGAAGAGGGACCTGCTTGGGGAGATCAGGATCACCTCGCATTTGGCTGCTATATCCGACGACGATGTCGACTTTGTGCGCGCGGCGAAGGAAAGGCATCCGAATATCAAGACCCTGCGCGAATTTGCAATCAACTCTTCACTGGACGACCTTGCATCCATGGCTCCGTCTCCGGCACCCGCCCCGGCCCCGGCCTTGGCCACGGTGAGGAGGTCGGTAGCCCCTTCTGCTGCCACCGCATCGAAAGGGTCCTTGAATAAGGCAGTGGACATCCGCCGGAAACTATTTCTCGCCGAACCCACGGGTGTCGTGATGCGGATGGTTAAAGACAGCGAGATCCGGCTTGATAGCAATGCTCAAGACCACGTATTCAACGTGCTCAACGAGGATCCAGAGTTTGACATGCAGAAGTCATCCGTGACCAAGTTGCTTTCAAGGTCAAATATCCTGACGACTCTTCCAGCTGAGGATGGCACCCAGAGCGCGGTGCAGTCCAATCTTAAAACCCTACAAAGAGTGCAAGCATTAGCACCCATTCCGGAAGCAATCAATCCCCTCATCAAGTCGAACTTGACATCGGCACTGCACATCTCTAACATGTCAGAGGTCGCATTTGTGGAACAGATGTCGAGCGAGATGGGCGACACGAACGCCGCCATTAGTATCCACCAACACGCCACGCAATGCCGGATCAGAAATGAAAATTTCCTTCTCTCCGCGCTGCAAGCGGTCCGTGGGAGTGGGCTTCGAGTGATTGACGGCGGTAACAGTGAGCAAAATGTCGAACTCAGAAAACAATCCTTTACCGAGGTTGCCGACAAGTATGTGACCCAAGTCGATTTGGAGCGACTGTTTGGGAACCTTGACTTTTGCGAATGCCCGGAGTGCGGTTCGGTTTATGGACCGGCGGCATACTTTGTGGAGTTAATGGAATTCTTGCGCAACAACAATTTGAGTTCCCGCCATTCCAAGACCGGTGATAGAGACATCAACGGTACCCAGCTCCAGGCTCTCCTCAAGCGACGGCCTGACCTGGCTTGTCTCCAACTCACGTGTGAGAATACGAATACGTACATTCCATATATCGACCTCGCTTTGGAGGTAATGGAATCGTACGTTGTGCATGCTCCCATGATCAAGGCTTATAATGTCAACGGGGAGACCACCAACGAACTGCTCTGCTCTCCTCAGCACACCCAAGGCGCAGCGTACGAAATCCTGAGAAAGGCAGGCTACCCCTTAGGGCTTCCGTATCATTTTCCCATCGACACCATGAGGGTGTTTTTGCAATTTTTGAAAACAAACCGAGCAGACATCATTCAGGTCTTCCAGGGAAGTGGCGTTTTGGACCCCTCCGTTGCCCCGGCAAACCCTGCGTCAAGCGTGGTGTTGAGATCATTCGATGCCGAGTTCAACCTATTGACCCAAGAGGAGTATGTCATTCTCACGAAGGAAGGGTTTTGGGCACCCACAACCACCGCAGCTCAGTGCCATCAGTCCAGCTACACCACTCGAATCGGGCTCAAAAAGCCATGGGGCTATTTTGGGTATGATTCGAGGGGTGAGATGCTGGATGACAACTCCGCCACAAAAACAGGCATATCATGGGTGAAAGCTCAATTCCTGAAGCGCGCCGGAATTCAGTACGGCGATCTGGTGGAGCTGGTAAAGACACGTTACGTCAATCCGAACATGCCCAAAGGCAAAGATTTGACGACGATGGAACGCATCAGATTCAGCTACCGCTTTCTTCGGTACCTTGTTCAGCATCAATACACGGACAAACGAAGGAGGTATGCCAAATTAATCAATTTCCTCCAGGTTGCCGATGTGTTCGTGCCCTTGTGGGAGAAGATCCAAAAGCTGCGGCAGATCGACCTATGTGCAGACCAAAACGACCAATCCAATTCTGACTGCTCGTGTGGTGGCACCAAGTCGTCGGGCTGCCATTGCTGCCCTTGTAATGGAGGTGAATGGGCGGAATGGGTATATTCCTGGTTCGAGAAGATCGGAAGTATTGTTGTCCTTGAGTCCGGTAATGGCCCGCGAATTCCTCTGGAAGGACAGATGTGGGCCGAGTCTCATCTCTGCTACCTCTCCGTGAAGGCCGTCGGCGACAGGGTGGTCAATGGAACAAGCTCAAAGAAGCCAGACACGCTCTCTAACGATCCCATATTCATTGGAACACTCCAATCCGATGGGGCCGTGATCGATCGCCGCTCCAGAAATGCGGTCGCGTTTGTGTCGGCGTCAGGGACGGTCATCAATCTTTGTGGCAAGAACATCCAAGATTGCTATCGGAATCGCGACATCTACGTTTATAAAAGCGATGCCGATGTGAATCACCCCGAGTTGGCTATTGGTGAGATACGAGGCGAAGGCAATACTCTTTCCTGGAGGCCGGGGCAATGCTCTCGCTGGCAGGATGTTGAATGGAGCAACGTTAGGGACGCTTGTGACATCAGCACCACGCGCCTGTTGCATCTTGACGGGAGTCAGCTTAGCCCGGATGAGTATTTCAATATGGTCCGCTTCCTTCGACTTTGGCGCAAATTGGGCTGGACGATTCCAGAGGTTGACTCAGCAATACAAGGACTTGGTAAAACGCCTTCCGTCGCCGAAGACAGTTCCGCGGGTGAGTGTGATGCGTCTGTAGATCCGTACGAGGATGACTCAACCGATACGGACACCGAAGAGTCGAAGTCAGACATCAATCCTCCCCTAGTCCACCAAATCGTCGCAGTGAGGAACATCATCGATATGACAGGACTTTCCCTCGAAGTGGTCTTGACTTTCTGGGATGTCATACCCACCCATGGAGACACCTCTTTGTACAACTCCACATTTCTCACCCACGACATCGTTCGTATGGACCCGGTGTTCCAGGCAGACGAGCATGGGAATTACCTTACTGCCACGCAGAAGATTTCAGACCACATGCCGGTGCTTCAGACTACCCTGAAGCTCAAAGCTGCCGACATCGAGCTGATTCGACAACTGAGAAACATCCCAGACTCTCTTACGATCGACACCTTGTCCGAGCTATTTCGTATCTCGACCCTGATCAGTTACCTTTCGGTACGACCCGATACGTTACCCGATATCATTCAAGTCCTTGGTGAACCCTTCACGAACGCGGACACAACTCTCTCATTTCTTCAGACCTGGCAGGATATCATCAACAGCAACTTCTCTTTTGAGCAGCTGAACTATCTCATTCGCGGGGTGGACAATATTTCCCGCCCGCTTGCGCCAACGCCCCAAGTGATTCTCAAACTGGGAAAGAGTCTTCTCGATGGCTTGGAGGCAATAATGAAACAAAATGCCGATATCACAAGCGCTGAGGTCAACAACAACACCGTTTCTCTCACGGAGCTTCTGCCCTCCAAACTGGCTCTGATATTTGCACCCGCCCTCGCGACCAAGATAAGCGATTTAATCAACGGCCGCATGGTTTTTACCACCAACGCCCCCTCCGGATTGGCTATCATGATCCCTCCTGCTATGGACACCCTGGTCGCTAAGGTCAAATATAACGATCTGAAAACTGCCAAGCCCCCCACCGCACAACTCACCGTCACCGGAATACTTACGGACGACGAGACAACGGACCTGAAAGGCTTGTCTGCAAATGCATTGTGGATTGCGGCAGTGGACCGAATCAAGAAACAGGGCGTGACCTTTTTCAATCAATATCTCCGGTCTATCATTCCCCCAAGAGGCCAGGGCACTCTTCTTGCCGGGGACACCGCAGAAACGCCAATTACCAAAGCATTGTTTTTCTTGCGGTATTTCCTGCCGTATCTGCGCGCCCGACTCTCGACCCTAATGGTCCAGCAGACAATGTTTGATGCATTAGGTACAGACATCACGACGATTTCCTACCTTCTCAATATCGTGAAATCGACCTCTGGGGATTCCGCCATGAATGTTCTGCTCACATTGAGGGAAAATGCCCAAGGCGACGAAAGCGGGGTGTGGTCCGGGTACCTTATTCCATCCACGACGGACAAGTTTCAATTCTGGGTGACGAGCGATGCCAAACCAGCTGGCTTCACATTGGACGGCATTCCGTACGGATTCCCGAATCAGTCTGAAGATCCAACAAATATCTGGTCATCAGCGCCAATCAGTCTGGTTGATGGGAGATTATACGCTCTTCAACTCTCTGGTACCGCCCCAGAAACACTGTCCTGGAGCACCTCCACGTCTCCCCCGACCTTAATTCCATCCGGGGCCTTGTTGCCCGCTGTGGCGTCATCCTCTGTTTCAGAGGTGCTCGTTGAGCTAACCAAGATATCTGTCCTTGCTCAAGGGTTTGGTTTGTCTCTCGATGAAATCATTTACCTACATGAGCACGGCACGGACTTCAGTTCGGGCGCCGACCAAGGCGCTCTGAATCTCGGCAACATCACCATGGGTGCGTGGAAACGGCTCTTGTCTTACACCAATCTACGAAACTCCCTTCCGAAGCAGCAAACACGGCTTATTGACTTGTTCGCATGGTCAAGGCTGCCGGGCTCCTCGGATGTGGTTTCAGAAATTGTGAAAGTGACGCGATGGGACGCCGAACTATGCTCCACCATCCTCAAGGGCTATGATTCCTTGACTCCGGAGCATTTCCACAACGAGCTCCTTCTTGTCAGCGTCAAGAAGGCTCTGGATATTTTGACGAAGACTCAGATTGCGGCACCCCTGCTGTTCGAATGGGCTAAACCGTTGAATCTATCGGATTCTTCGTATACGAAGTTTGCAACTCAAGCGGATACACTGAAGAAGGCGCTGCGATCCCGTTACAACGCCAGTGAGTGGGAACAGGCTGCAAAGCCGCTCTTCGACACACTCCGGCGGAATCAGCGTGACGCCCTGGTATCCTATCTCATCGTCGAGCCCTCTTTAGTAGAGACGGGCTTGGTCAAAGATCCCGATGGATTATTTGAATACTTTTTGATCGATTGCCAGATGAGTTCATGTCTACAAACAAGCCGCATCAAGCAGGCAATTTCCACGATTCAACTGTACGTTCAGCGATGCCTTTTGGGTCTCGAGGCGGAGGTTGCCCAACAACCTGAGGACCTGATTGATCGGAAACGATGGAACTGGATGAAGCGATATCGCGTTTGGGAGGCAAATCGACAGGTCTACCTGTATCCTGAAAACTGGATCGTGCCCAGCCTGCGGGACGACAAATCTCCATTCTTCCTGGATCTGGAGTCAGCGTTGCAACAAAAAGACATCAGTCTTTCCAATGCGGTGGCCAGTCTCAAAACTTACGTTCATAACGTCGCTGCGGTTGCCAACCTAAAGGTTTTTGGTTTGTTCATCAGAAAGGGCGGCCGGGGCGAATCGGCGCTTGGTGCCCACGTAGTGGCATGCCGTCAGAATGCTCCCTACGACTGGTATACCAGAGACTATTCCCCGGATGGCAGATGGTCCCCGTGGGTCAGAATGCAGGTCGATATTCCCCATTATGACGTTGACGACGGTTTTGGAAATCCCGTAGGCACAGGTTCATACGTCGCGCCGTATCTATGGCAGGGAAGGCCCATCCTTTTCTTCATGCAAATGACGTTGAAGCATATCACCATCGACAATGCGTCGCCAATTAGTGACCGCATGTCCAAGGACGTGAAGGGTCAAAACCAGTCCGTCCCAATGTGGCAAATCAATCTCGGAGTTACAAGGTTCGACAATGGCAAATGGAAACCCAAGGAGCTGTCACAAAAGTGTATTCTCCACTCTGTTGAGCCCTTCGACATACAGGATCTGGACGAGACTGTGACAATCTGGGCAACACCAAACCAAGCAAGATACCAGATGATTCCTCGCTTCTTCGCCGGCAGTGACGGCAGTCCAGATTATATCCAGATCGATATCGCCTTCAATGCAACGCAGAATATCGTTTACAATCACCATGTCAAACAGGATGACGGGTCGGTTAAAATCGAGAGCAAAGAGGACGCTAAAGAGATTCATGATGTTGTAGGATCCTTCCTCTTTATCGACGGCGGTATTGCTCAAACCCTGATGTCGGGGAACCCGCCTCTCGATTTCCACCAAAAAACCTCATTCCAGTACATCGAGACATCGGATACGCTCTATTCCTACCAAATCGACGACGGTGTCTTGACGGCTCCCCAGTATTATCGTACCGGACCGTCCTTCCAGTGTCCCCAGAACATCACCTCCAACAGTAGATCCACGTTCACCGCGAGTTACTCCCCGGAGAAAAAGGTGACCTTCAATCATACCTTTGTGGATCAGTTCTTGAAACAGATCAACACCTCAGACGATATCGGCGTCATATATGAAGACTTTTTGTCTCTATCGCGAACTGCCGAAATCGCTGGAGATAACCCGTACGGCACTTTCACCGAGGAAGATGGATCCACCTCTTATCACGAGTTGTTGAGTCCGTATGGAATCTACAACTGGGAGATCGGCCTCCATGGTCCCATGACTCTTATTGACGCGTTGCTCAATGCACAGCAATTTGACGATGCGCTAAAGGTCTGCCATATCATCTTCGATCCAAGCATTGAGGGCGCCGCAAACAGCAGCACCGGAAACAACAAATATTTCTGGAAGTTTCTCCCTTTCAAAGCGTTGGCAAACACCGACGCCAAAGAGTCCTTGGAGCAGATGTTCCTTGATCTGCAACCCGGCAGAGCTAACCAAGCCATCTCCGAATGGAGAGACAACTCCTTTGCCCCTCACGTCGTGGCACGTATGCGCCCGGTGGCCTACATGAAATGGATCGCGATGAAGTACATTGAAATTCTGATCACTTACGGCGACTACTACTTCCGACAAAACAGCCTGGAAACGATACCAGAGGCGATTCAGTGCTACATCCTTGCGTCGCACGTATATGGTAACAAGCCTCAGAAAATACCCCGTCGTGGCAAGGTCAGGGCGGAGACCTACAGCTCACTGCTCAACCGATGGGATGCTTTTGGCAATGCCGTTGTACAGATGGAAGTGGAATTTCCCTTCTCCAACCAAACGTCCCAAGTACTTGGATCAAGCGATCGCATCACAGGATTTGCGAACATCTTTGGATTTGCATCCTCCTTGTACTTTGGCATTCCAAACAATCCAAAACTGGCACAGTTGCGAGACACGATCGACGACAGGCTATTCAAGATCCGCAATTGCATGGACATCAATGGCGTTGTTCGAAAGCTTCCATTATTCGACCCGCCAATTGACCCTGCTTTGCTGGTTGCGGCCACCGCCCAGGGGTTGAGCATCGACACAGTGCTGAATGACCTGAGCGGATCCATTCCAAACTACCGATTCATGACCTTGCTGGCCAAAGCACTCGAAATCTGCTCGGAGCTCAAGTCGCTCGGCGCGGCCTTGTTGGCAGCGAAAGAGAAGAAAGACAACGAGCATCTCTCTCTGTTGAGGTCTACTCACGAAATGGTCATGAACACGTTTCAGCTGGACCTGAAGAACCGCGCTCTTGAAGAGGCAAATGCTGTGCTCGAACAGTTGTTGCAAAACAGGGAAGCACCAAAGTCTCGCCTGCAGTACTACAAAGGCCTCGTTGGGGTGACAGATCCGGCACCGGGGGAGACGGATGACTTCACAGAACTTCCGAATCCTTCTCTTCAGGCCCCCATCGCAAACGGACAAATGATGCTTATCGCCGAAGAAAATGAAGAACTTGAAAAGTCCAGCGCGGCGCGCGATTGGAATATTGCCATTGGCGCCGTGGAGACGCTTGCTGGATTGCTGCACATGTTGCCCGAGTTCGATGCAGACATCAAACCCTTTGGTTGCGGTACTGGCCTCAAATGGGGCGGCAATTTTTTGGGTAGCTCAACGGGTGCAATTGCGCGTGGAATGCAGATTTATACCCAGACTCTGTCGGCCGATGCCTCAAATGCCAGTCGAAAAGCATCGTACTTGCGTGCTCTACAGGACCGTATTGTTCAAGCAAACTCGAATGGACACGAACTCAAGAACGTTGACAAGCAAATCGCTACTCAGCGCCTTCGGGTAGCCACCACAACGCAAGAAATCAAGAACGCTCAGACGGTGGTGGACCAGGCCAACGAGGTGAACGAGTTTTTGCGTTCAAAATACACCAACGAGGAATTGTACATCTGGATGGAGAGTCGTACTCGTTCTCTCTATAACGACACATACAACTTGGCTTACGATCTCGCGAAGCGCGCTGAAAAATGCTTCCAATTCGAACGTCCTCAGATGGCCACATCGTCCTATATTGAGTTTGGATATTTCACCTCTGCGCGCGACGGTCTTCTTGCCGGAGAATCTCTCTACCTTGGACTGAAACGGCTCGAGGCCGCGTGTCAAGAGAACCTTGGGCACGACTTTGAAGTGACCAAGCACATCTCGGTTCGGCAATGGGCCCCAATGGCGTTGATCGAGTTCCGCGAGAAAGGGACTTTCATGCTTGAGCTGCCTGAAATTCTCTTCGACATGGACTGTCCGGGGCACTACATGCGCCGCATCGTGTCAGTCAACGTCTCCATCCCTTGCGTTGCAGGGCCCTACGCAGGAATCAACTGCACGCTGCGACTCCTCAACCACTCGATGCGGACCACGCCACGCGCAAATAGCAAATCCGACTACCATCGCGCCCAGGAGGGCGAGGACGATGACCGTTTTATCACCACCAACCTCCCCATCTCCGCTGTCGTCTTGTCCGGCGCGCAAGCCGACTCCGGCCGTTTCGACCAACTGCCCGAACGGTACAATCCGTTCGAGGGCGCCGGCGCAATCAGCACCTGGTCCTTCACGCTCCCGTCGGCCATACACTCCTTCGACTACTCCTCCATCACCGACGTCGTCCTCACGCTGCGCTACACGGCGCTCGACGGGGGCGACAAGCTGCGCAAAGTGGCGTCCGACGTCGTCGCCGACTACATGAAAGTGATGCTCGGCGCCGGCGCGCCGGAAGGAAAAGGCCTGTTCACGTACTTCGACCTGCGCACCGACTTTGCTTCGGAGTGGTATCGCGCCGGACTGGGTAGCGGTGCCGGACCCGCTTCCTCCTCTGATGATGAAAATACCGACACCGCGGTCATGAACCTCGATAATTTATCCTCGCGCCTCCCACTGTACACGACGAAGCACCGCCCGGAAAAAATTATCGCGACGCGCATCGCGATCCTCGCGAAGGGCGATAACTTCAATTCCTCAGACGTGGAGATCGTGCAGAAGGGCGCGAAGGCGGGCAGTCAGACGGAGAAGAGCGTCGCGTTTAAGCCGGGCAGGGATATCGAGCCGTTGATTGGTGTCGTGAGTGCAGAGGATGGATTGCAGTTGCCCATGACGAGTTGGCAGCTTAAGGTGAAGAGGGCTAGCGCGGATGTGGAGGGCGCGTGGATGGTTGTGAGGTATAGTTTGGTGTGATGAGTTGGTTTCTGGATTTTTGGTTTTTTTTCTGGTGTTGCAGGCGGATTATGGTTGCGTACAGGTGTTATGGGTCCAGTCTGGGTTATGTGGTGTCGATCTCGCTTTTTCATGGCGCTGTTGGTTGTTTGCGTCGTTGGGGATTTTGGTATTTGGGAAATTTCTAATCTATTGTGTGTGTTGAATGGGCTCTTTCAGCTAGCTGCTTATGGTATGAGCACTTAAGTAGCAAGAGTAAGAGTAGTGTACGGTGTGCACAGCGTACGAAGTATGTAGGGTGGGGGCAACATGTTTCTGGTTATTGCTCTCTCTTTTTCCTCCGTACAGAGGAAAAAGGGGAATATCTAACGTCCCTCCCTGCGTGCCGAGACACCCTGTGTGCCGAGACAAATGAGGGGTACTTTGACTTTAAGCAACAGCACAACCTATGCGCACAACGAATATTGCTATAGTTCTATGAAAATAATCTGTCGCGGCTAATTCTAAGTGTCTATGATCTACTACTCCCTATAAATTACGTTTGCATTGTTGTCTCCAAGCCTGATTTGTATAGCGCCTTGTGTTGTGGTGTAATAGACTTCCCTCCCCATAGCGCCAACTTTAAGTTCTTACTGCTCTAAATTTTTGTAGAACAACCTTGTCTATGCCCTAGAACCTTCCTCTTCTGTTTAAAATTTATCATGAGCTCTATGCGCGCTGCAGGGCGCGATTTCATGCAGGGCCGCCATATCAATCAGTATCTCCAGCGGAACCAAATCACTGATCCTCGCTTGTAGGTAGTAAGTTAGGGTATTTTATTGTAAGATATGTGGCGGTGCGAGTTGCACAAGCGATCGGATTATCTCTAAATCCGACTTGGGATTGGGAGAAGTGATTAGACTTGGCCTGGTGCTCGTTTAGTCAGCTAACGCGCTTCCCGCGTCAAAACCGACTTCGATAAAGCGATCCCACAACACTTTGAGATGCCGTCTAACGCACAGCGATACCTACTTTGTGATGTAAAGCTATACCATTGCAAGCCCTAAGGTCCGCTGTTGTCCCTTCTGCTGACTGAACAAAAGACCTGATTAAGCCACCACGTCCTTATGCTTCTCTACCGCACCGGCGCCGATTCCTAGACTAAGCCGCAGCGAGCTCCAGTCTGCGCTCGTCTGAAAGGGAGTGAAATGTGATAGGAAGGAAGAATGATACAAAACAGAGTTCGGCGGACCTAGAAATCAAAGCCTGCGCTTCAGAAAGTGGTCTGAGTGTCACAACCAAAACGCCGTCGTTGCAAGCGCATACAAAGTTCGAAAGGTTCTGCATATTTTAGTGACACAGCTGTTGTACGGTCAAACAGCCTACAGTTCCTTTCATAGGCACTACAATCTCTAGGGCTGTAGAGATGTGCCTCAGTTTAATCTCTGAGGGTTATAGGGAGTTTTAAATTGTTCATGTTTGTGAGAGATAAGTACTAGCAGAGCTGTGATAATGGCTATTCTTGGCAAGACTCTACACTATCTGGAGCTGCATACAGCACTCTTCTCTTCAGCCATATCTACAAACTATCGCCTCGTAGCAAATTATACGTAGAGAGCCTTAGGAGCACCGTCACCTTTCCCGCCAGCGGGTCTTATACAGAAACTTTAACCGCGCGAAAAGCCTCATCTTAATGAAGATGGCCCTGCTATAAGTTAGAAGGTTAGGTTTCGATCTAGAGCAGCCCAGGGCCCAGTGCCGGAATTACAATTAGGCACCACGGCTAACTCGTAGGAACAACCACAACCTCCAACATGCTTGAGAAAATCTCTGTGCTTCTCGCGCAACCCTCTAGCCAGAATAGGTTGGCTACCCTCCTTGCCCGCGGGTGCGAATTTAAAATGACATGTTATATCATCTGCAAAAACGCACTCACAGTTACCCGAGGCAGCAGTCTTGGCAATGCGCTTAAGACCGTCAAAAACGCTAGGTTCAAACAAGCCACGCTCTGGCCAAAGCACTAGTTAGAATAATTGTGGACCTATACAGATACGCCTTTCAGAAGTCTTTGCCCACGCCAAGGCACTAAAAAGCCACATTTCAAATTGGGCGGACAAGCAAATGCCTCCTCTGGGTGTGATCTCTTCCCTCTTTGTACTCATTACCACCCATAAGCCTAATAACCTCCTGGCTAAGCTCGCCAGCAAGGTCAGCACATGTCTTCTCACGGCCATATTGGTCAAGGCGTACCTTCTGGGTGAGAGATTGCTGAACCTCGCTTGTCTGCTTATTTAGACGGCCAGATCTGGGAGCATCTTCAAGATATTCGTCTTTTATAACAAGAGGGACAGCGTTAGGATCAAACCCACGCTTGATCGCTCGGCCGTAGATGCTATCAATAGTGCGCTTTAGTAGTCCAGTAATTAAGACAACCTGTTGGGTAGTTTTGCCCACAGATGGCGATTTAAGGGCAACGACTAAAGCTCGAGTAGCGATATTGTGATTAGAGATGAAATAAATTGTAGTATAACGTACTTCACAGGCGAGTTGCTCACACACCTGAGTTGCTTACTTTTGCTAAGACCCCACCCTAACAAACTTTATTATAGCCTATAACAACCCGCTCTAGCACTATATAGTACAGTATAGCCTAGAATATTATTTAGATACTACTTCTACTTCTTGCTTACTTATTTGCGTGTTATGCCTAGTCTAATTACACTGTCTGTAGCATCTTTAGGATAGCTTACCTACTTTAGCTTACACCTACTTCTTTGCCTTCTTTCTATTACTACGCGCTTTAAACTTCTTTAAAGCTGTTAAGTGTAAGCTTTTTTAAATTATTAAAGTTTTTTTTACTTTAATCTACTATTTTTTATATAATTTATGTTATGTAGCAGCCTTATTAGCTGCTTAAAGCTTAGTAATTTCCTGTTACACTAACACTAGCTTATACATAATTATTACTGCCCCCTTTAAAACCTTTTTAAACACCTTAACTATAAAAGTTAGTAGACTATTTATATGCTTTTAAATTTTTATTTTTATAAGTATTAATTATAATCTAAGTTCTAGGGTATTACTTAGGGTTTACAACTACTAAGGCTTATTATATATAGGTAGTAATAGTAATAAAGTGCACAACTTTATATTAAGGCCTATTATAACTTATTATAGGTTAAAAAGAACTAATTTAGCGCTTTAAAACTTTTTTTTAAATATTACTAAAAGTAATTACAGCATTATAGGCTGCTTTAAAGTATAGTAAGAACTTTATTTTTATAATATAAGTAATTTAGTTATGTATAAGGTTTTTAGCTTAGCACCTATACACTTTTTTTAAAAGAGTAAAACAACTTATATTAAGTAGCTATAAAAAGTGTAATAAGTAAAAAAGCATATAAATAGTAATAATCTTATTATTCTTATAGTATTACTAAAAATAAAGTAAGTTATAGCTCTTATAGCTATTAATAACTAGCAGACAGTAGCTGCTAACAGTACACTTCTTTATATGTGTGTTAAAGTGCTTTAACTAGTCTAGACTAAGCTAATTAGTAGTTTAGCTATGCTTAGAGATTATAATAACTTAATCTTAAAGTAGATTTTCTTTTTTATACTAGTTTAAAAAGTAGTTGCTACTCTAAAAAAAATAAAGAGTAGAATAGCCTACTTTTTAGCATTAATGCCCTAGATAGCAGTTGTTTACTTCTAGTTACCTAGCTAGACTGCTTTTAGCTGTCCTTATCTTTCTAAACCTGTAATAACTGCTCTAGTAGATATTTAACCTATTATAAACTTTATCTTGTTAAAGTTGTACATGTTATTATTCTAGATACTATACTTAGCTTTAATATTCTTTATAAGGTTAAACTAGCTTTAAATTACTATAGAATTTTTATAAAAAGCTTTTTTATAGTTATACTTATACTTAAACTTTACTTTAAGCTTTAAGTAACACTTAATAAATATATTAAGCTAGTTTATGCTAACATAGCTTATATTACACTTAGTGCACAAAGAATTAGCTATATTAGCTATAGCTACTAGCTAGGGGGGAAATCCTTACACATCTAGCTTAAGTATGTGCTAAATAATTACCTGCTTTTTATTATTATCTAGCTTTTATAAGTTAGCTATATAATTAGCTAAGAAAGGTTATTTAGCGCGTTAGTTACTTATTATCTTTTAAAAGACCCTATAGATAGCTGCAGCATGTTAGTTAAAAAGTGTTACATTTTATTTAAAAGCCTAGAGTGTAAGCTGCATCTAATGTTCTTTTAATATGTTTAAGTAGTATTATTAGAAATGCATTAGTGTAGAAAGGGTAGTGTGGTAGGGTCTTAGCAAAAGTAAGCAACTTAGGTGTGTAAGCAACTTGCCTATAAAGTATGTTACTACTTTTTTTAAAACTTTTTTAAATACTTTAACTATAAAAGTTAGTAAACTATTTATATGCTTTTAAATTTTTATTTTTATAAGTATTAATTATAACTTAAGTTTTAAAGTATTAACGTACCTAACAGGTTGGCCGGCCACACGGGTTGGCCGGCCACTTTTGCTAAGCCTCTACTAAAACCACTCTATTCTCTTGCAAAACAGCCTACTTTAGCCCTGTATAAAGTAATATAATATAAGATATTATTTAGAGTCTACTTTTACTACTTTCTTACATGTACACAAGTTATGCCTAGTCTAATTGCACTGCTTATATTGCCTTTAACTTAGCTTACTTTTTTTTAGCACACACTTATGTCTTTAGCTTCTTTCTATTACTACACGCTCTAAACTCCTTTAGAGCAGTTAGATAAGCCTTATTTTTAACTATTAAAGTTTTTTTTACCTAAATCTGCTTTTTTTTATGTAATTTATATTATGTAGCAGCTTTATTTACTGCTTAAAGCTTTATAATTTTCTTTTACACTAATACTAGCTTATGTGTAATAATTACTACCCCCTTTAAACCCTTTTTAAAGGCCTTTACTATAGACATTAGTAAGCTATTTATATACCTTTAAATTTTTACCTTTATAAGCATTAATTATAACTTAAATTTAAAAGTATTACTTAAAGTTTATAACTACTAAGGCTTATTATTAATAAGTAGTAACGTATCTAACGGGTTGGCCGGCCACTTTTGCTAAGCCCCTACTAAAACCACTCTATTCTCTCGCAAAACAGCCCACTTTAGCCCTGTATAAAGTAATACAACACAAGATATTATTTAAAGTCTACTTCTACTACTTTCTTACACATACGCAAGTTATGCCTAGTCTAATTGCACTGCCTACATTGCCTTTAACTTAGCTTACCTCCTTTAGCGCGTACCTATGTCTTTAGCTTCTTCCTATTACTACGCGCTCTAAACTCCTTTAAAGCAGTTAGATAAGCCCTATTTTTAACTATTAAAGTCTTTTTTGCTTAAATCTACTTTCTTTTATGTAATCTATATTGTGTAGTAGCCTTATTTACTGCTTAAAGCTTTATAATTTTTTTTTGCGCTAACACTAGCTTGTGTGTAATAATTGCTGCCCCTTTTAAGACCTTCTTAAAAGCCTTTACTATAGATGTTAGTAAGCTATCTACATGCCTCTAAATCTTTACTTTTATAAGCATTAATTATAACCTAAATTTAAAAGTATTACTTAGGGTTTATAACTACTAAGGCTTGTTATTAATAGGCAGTAGTAGTAATAAAGTACATAACTAGATGTTAAGGGCTATTTTAACTTATTCTAGGTTAAATAGAACTAAACTAGCGCCTTTAAACCCTTCTTAGATATTACTAAAAGTAATTACTACATTATAAGCGCGTATAAAGCATAGTAGGAACTTAAGTTTTATAATATAAGTAATCTAGTTACATATAAGATCTTTAGCTTAGCGCTTATACACCTTTTTTAAAGGGGTAAAACAACCTACATTAAGAGGCTGTAGAAAGTGTAATAAGTATAAAAGCATGTAGATAGTAATAATCTTGTTTTTTTTACAGTACTGCTAAAAATTAAGTAAGTTATAGCTTTTATAGCTATTAATAATAAAAAGCTAATAAGCGCTTACAACTCTTCTCTTTATATGCTTATTAAAGTGCTTTAACTACTGCAGCCTAAGCTAATTTGTTGTCTAGCTGTTCTTAGAGACTATAATAACCTAGTTCTAAGGCAGATTCTCCTTTTTATACTAAGTAAAAAGGTAATAGCAGCTTTTAAAAATAATAAAAAGTAAAATAGCCTACTTTATTATATTAATGCTTTAGATAACTATTATCTACTCTTTATTACCTTACTATATTACTTTTAGCTGTCCTTATCTCTCTAAAGCTATAATAACTGCTTTAGTTAATATCTAGCCTATTATAAAGCTTAACTTATTAAAGTTATATGTGTCTTTATTTTAGATACTATACTTAGCTTTTATGTTAGCTACTAGGTAAAACTAGCTCTAGATAACCTTTAGATTCTTATAAAGCACTCTTTTATAATTATACTTATAATTAAACTTTATTATAAACTTAGGGCAGTGCTTAACCTACATACTAGGCTAGTTTAAGCTAACCTGGCCTAGATTGCGCTTAGCGCGCAAGGAATTAGCTATATTAGCTATAGCTACAAGCCTAAAAGGAAATCTGCGTGTAATAAGCTTAAGTATATACTTAATAACTACTTTCTTTTTAAGCTTAGTTAAATTTCTTAATTTAGGCTAGCATTCTACTTCTAAAGGCTGTCTAGCGCGTTAATTACTTAGTGTTGTGTAAGAGACATTATAAATAGCTGCAGTGTGTTATAAGAAGAGTTTTAAGTCTTATTTAAAAGCCTAAAAAGTAAGCTGTATCTAACGTTCTTTAGAAGATTTAATCTAGTGTTGTTGTTAAGGCATTATGTAGATAGGTAGAGTGTGGTGGGGGCTTGGCAAAAGTGGCCGGCCAACCTGTGTAGCCGGCTAACCTGTTAGGTACGTTATTTACTTTTTATTACTTTACTATATTACCTTTAGCTATTCTTATTTTTTTAAAGCTATAATAACTGCTCTAGTTAATATCTAGCCTATTATAAAGCTTAACTTATTAAAGTTATATATGTCTTTATTTTAGATACTATACTTAGCTTTTATGTTAGCTACTAAGTAAAACTAGCTCTAGATAACCTCTAAATTCTTATAAAGCACTTTTTTATAATTATACTTATAATTAAACTTTATTATAAACTTAGAGTAGTGCTTAACTTATATACTAGGCTAGTTTAAGCTAACCTAGCCTAGATTACGCTTAGTGCGCAAGGAATTAGCTATATTAGCTATAGCTATAAGCTTAGAGGGAAATCTGCGCGTAATAAGCTTAAGTATATACTTAATAACTACTTTTTTTTAAGCTTAGTTAGATTTTTTAATTTAGGCTAGCATTCTGCTTTTAAAGGCTGTCTAGCGCATTAATTGCTTAGTGTTATGTAAGAGACATTATAGATAGCTGTAGTGTGTTATAAGAAAAGTTTTAAGTCTTATTTAAAAGCTTAAAAAGTAAGCTGTATCTAACATTTTTTAGAAGATTTAATCTAGTGTTGTTGTTAAGGCATTATGTAGATAGGTAGAGTTTAGTGGGGGCTTAGCAAAAGTGGCCGGCCAACCTGTGTGGCCGGCCAACCCGTTAGGTACGTTATAGCTTATATTATACTTAGTATGTAAAAAATTAGCTATATTAGCTATAGCTACTAGCTAGAGGGGAAATTCTTACGCATTTAGCTTAAGTATGTGCTAAATAATTACCTACTTTTTATTATTATTTAGCTTTTATAAGTTAGCTATATAATTAGCTTAAAAAAGTTATTTAGTATGTTAGTTACTTATTATTTTTTAAAAAACTTTATAGATTACTATAGTGTGTTACTTAAAAAGTATTATATTTTATTTAAAAGCTTAAAGTATAAGCTGTATTTAACACTTTTTTAACATGTCTAAGTAGTGTTGTTAGGAATGCATTAGTGTAAAAAAAGTAGTGTAGTAGGGTCTAGTAAAAGTAAGTAACTTAGGTGTGTAAGCAACTCGCCTGTAAAGTACGTTAGCTGGAAATCTATTAAAATTTGATCTAAATCAGGGATTAAGGATCTCTGAGGTTTGCGCCAAGATTGCGGCGTTTTTAGAGCAGGCAAAGACTTTTGAAAGGCTTATCTGTACAGAGACTAGTTATAAGCTATACCTTCTAACGTGACCATATAAAGACAGCACAGCGCTTTGACTAAAGATATGCGCAATTTTTTATACAGGCAGGTAGTTTTCTTCTTGTTCAAGGTCGATTCGTCAACCAAGGCTGGCAATATCAATAGTATATCGACGTGCAGTTGTGGCTGCGGCTGTGCTGCATGTTAGCCACATCCCGCAGTTTCAACCCCGCAGAGCTGAACTCAGTTGCCGTGGCTACACCGTTTATCCTTTTCATCATCCCTCAATGCTTATCCTATTTCCTTTGATAGGATCCAAATCCGAATCCTCTACTCCTTGCAAGGCGCGGAGCACTTTTTTCGTTTTGCGCAAGGCCACCAAACCTCGCTACGAATCACCAACGGCCGAACCGAGTCCGTCCTGCCCCGAAGCTCTCGGACCCTGATATTCCCCCATCATTCTCCGCTAGCAAAGTATGCCCGGCCGGAACCACAATTATACTGTCGGCTGGATCTGTGCTATAACGACGGAGCTGGTCGCTGCGCAAGCCTTCCTTGACGAAAAGCACGAAGGGCCAGATGACGTGTCGCCGAATGACGACAACATCTACACGCTGGGTAGGATTGGGAAACATAGTGTCGTTATTGCCGTCTTGCCAGACGGCGAGTACGGCATAGCGTCGGCAACAAGCGTCGCGAGAGACATGCTGCATAGCTTTCCCAATATCAGGCTCGGTTTGATGGTCGGCATCGGTGGCGGTGCTCCAAGCAAAAAGCATGACATCCGTCTTGGCGACATTGTAGTTAGCGATCCTGGCAATGGAAACAGTGGTGTGTTTCAGTATGACTTCGGCAAGACAATACAATGTCAGAGTTTCCAAACAACAGGGTTCTTGAACAAGCCCCCAAGAGTCCTACTGGCAGCAGTGAGTACGCTTAAGGCGAAATATGAGTCAGACGGCAATGAGATTGAAAGTACCATCAATAGACTTCTCGAGAAGAAGCGAAGACTTCGGAATAAGTACAGACGGCCAGATCCAAGCACCGACAGGTTGTATCAAAGCGGAGTTGTTCATCCTCTAGATGACGGAGCGAGCTGTATGGCAACCTGTGGCGATGATACGTCAACTTTGGTATCACGACCTGAACGGACTGAAGAGGAGGATAATCCCGCAATTCATTACGGCTTAATTGCTTCAGCGAACCAGTTGATGAAAGACGCATTAGTTAGAGATAAACTCGCAACGGAAAAAAACGTTCTGTGTTTTGAAATGGAGGCAGCAGGCTTAATGAACAGCTTCCCGTGCCTTGTGATCCGCGGTATCTGCGACTACTCCGACTCGCATAAAAATAAGGAGTGGCAAGGGTATGCAGCAATGGCGGCGGCAGCGTATGCGAAGGATCTCCTCTGTAAAGTCCCACGAAGCAAAGTGGAGGCTGAGAAGAAAATAGGCGAGGTTCTATCTGGTTAGTCTAAGGGAGACTTAATTTTATCAGATTAGCCAATGCTAACTTATGAAAGGCCTCCAGGAAGTTGTGGAAGATCACCGAGACATTGCACGGAAGCAACTTAAAATGCAGGAAGACGAAGTCAAGCAGAGGCTGTCTGACAAGCAAAAAGAGTGTGTTCAGTCGTTCCGTCTCACCGAGAGCACTAAGAATGTCACATATGAGTGGTACAAAGACCGCGTGGAAGACCGAGTAGAAGGCACATGCATGTGGTTCCTTAAACACGGCTATTTCCAAGAATGGTTAAAACGGAAATCAGGCCCACTGCTGGTCTCAGCAGACCCTGGATGTGGAAAATCTGTCTTGGCCAAGTACCTAATTGACCATGCGTTACCACAATCAGCGACCATTTGCTACTTCTTTTTCAAAGACCAAGATCAGAACACGGTCCGCCAAGCACTTTGTGCTCTGCTCCATCAACTCTTCTCCCAGAAGCCGTCCTTGATCCAGCATGCCATGAAGCAATTCGAAGAAGATAAGCTAGGCCTAACCAACTCAACAAGGTCGCTTTGGGCTGTCCTAGGAGATGCCGTGCACGATCCTCAGGCTGGGTCTGTTATCATAGTCCTGGATGCTCTGGATGAATGCGCCGAATCAGAGTTTGGGGACCTAATGCGGAACATAGAAAGCCAGCTCTGCAGCAACCAGTCCGGCCATGGCAAGCTAAAGTATCTTCTAACGAGCCGCCCGTATGAGCAGATCGTGTCGAAGTTCCGGTGCCTTTTAGACAATTTTCCGCGTATTCATATACCAGGGGAGGAAGAGTCGGAAACTATTAGTCGAGAAGTAAATCGCGTCATCCAATACAGAGTGGACTGGTTAGCCAAGGAGAAAGAGCTCTCAAGCAATGTCAAGGATCACCTGGCGGACCAATTGCTCAAGCTTACACACCGTACATACCTCTGGGTATATCTTGTGTTCGAATACTTAAAGGAAGGCTTCAAAAAGACGCCAAAAGGAGTTGAGTTCGCTATTCAAACGCTACCCAGGAACGTCAATCAAGCATATGAGCGAATTCTGAATAAGTCTAAGGAAGACTTGATGGTTCGGAAGGTCTTAGCGATTATTTTGGCAGCGGGCCGGCCATTAACTCTCTCCGAAATGAACGTTGCCGTAAATATAGACGACTCGTCACAGACTGTTCACGACATGGACCTAGAAGAAGAAGAAGAAGACTTCAAGTCACGCCTGAGATCTTGGTGTGGACTGTTCGTTTCAATACATCACGGCAAGATCTACTTCCTTCATCAAACTGCTCGAGAGTTTCTCCTCGCCAATCTGCCATCGTCTACCACGATTTCCACGGAGCTACGAGGGCATCACTCTATCACTATCCATCAGGCACATAACGTTCTTGCGGAGCTCTGCGTGTGCTATCTTAACTTCTTCAACTCTGACGTTAGTCTGATCGCAGATTTCACCCCGGAGGCCAGTCACCAAGTCGATATCCACACGTTACTGGAATATTCGGCCACATTTTGGGCTTTTCACTTCCGCGAGGCCTGTATCAGCAACGATGGTGCTGCTATAGTACGTCATGCTTTGAAAATATCTGATCCGGATTCGAAGGCCTATTCGGTGTGGTTCAAAATATATTTAGGGGCTACTGAATCTATCCGCAATCCCAGGTTTTCCACAGGTCTTATAGTGGCGTCATATTTTGGACATGGTGCAGTCGCCAAGCGGCTGCTCGACAAGGGCGCCGACCTGGAGTCGAAGGACAAGGAGTACGGTCAGACGCCGCTATCGTGGGCTGCA